TTTTTTAATTGAGTGTCCACCCCCAGTCCCTACTCTAACCATAGTTAACAGTCTGTCCTAGGTCCCTGCAGGCCTCTTCTGTGATAGGACCAACATCAGCATTTCTCATGGGCTTCTCCCATGTCAGCACATACAGAGCTGCCTCCCACTTTTTAAGCCTGTATCCTACCGCCTAGTATGAATACTTTTATCATTTATGTAAAAAATACTTTATTTAACCACTATCATCTAAGTTGTCTCTAATTATTCGTCATTATAAACAATGCTAAAGCAGACATCATTCTATGCATATCTTTTCACCTTGAGTGGATATTCTTATAGGATAAATTCTAAAAATGGAATTGTTGGGTTGAATAACATGCATATTTTTTATTTTAATGGAAATATTTTAAAAGGCAATTTGTGACTTTTGTCACAGGCTATTTATTTGAAGATATAGAAGAGTTTATTTATAATATTGAGAACAGCAGTTCTCAATCTGGATAATTTTGTCCCCCAGGAAGAGTTGCCAGATAAAATACAGATCCCCAGTTAGATTTAAATTTCAGATAAACAACAAATAATTTTATAGTGTACATATGTTCCAAATATTGAATGGGCTACATGTATACTAAAAAAGTATTAGTCATTTATCTGAAATTTAAATTTAAATGGGTATCCTATACTTTTATTTGCTGAATCTGGCAGCCTTACCCCAGGGGACACCTGACCAAGTTTGAAGGAGTTACGACCCTCCTCTAGGGGGTGGAGGCCAGGGATGCTGCTAAGCAGCCACAGTGCACAGTGCTGCCCCCTACAGTGAAGAACGATATGACCCAAATGTCAACAATGCTGAGGCTGAAAAGCCCTGGCACGAAGAAACCTGCAATAATTCAGAAAGTGTCCCCGGCTCTGTAATGCAGGTGAGCAAAGAGCAGCAAATCAGGCTCAGTGGGCCTCAAGACTAAGGCTGCCAGTGTTGTGGAAAGGCAGATGAGGTCCCCAGCAGGGCCAGCACCCGCGGCACTCGCCGCCCCAGGCCTTGCGGCCACGCCCGGAGCGCAGCTGTCCGGATGGAAATAGCCTTCCTTTGAGCTGCGGCCCTGCAGCCTCAGGGAGGAATTTCTGACTCTGTCCCCCCCCAGCAGAGAGGCCAGCGCCCTGAGGCGTGTCCTGGCCCTGTGTCCAGCTCTTGAGGGAGCTGCACCAAGAATCATGCTCCCCTAAGTACTAATCCAGCTGTGTCCCCTACCAGGCTCTTCAGACCAGGAAGCCTCATTTCCCAGATGGCTTGGATTCTGAGAGATTTGGAGTAGAGAAGATATTTTTCATGCTGGTTTTCAAGCCCCAGTAAAATGTTAAGATTGAAGGAGTTGTCCAGTTGGCTCAGGTTTGAGACCGCCTGTCTTCCCCCACAGCCTCCCTGTCCCAGGACAGCGTGATCGAAGTTTATATATGTGTGTCCATTAATGGCAACAGGCCTCAGCCCTCCACTGATGTGTTTTCCAAAAGTGCCTCTTCCAAGAGACGAGTGCGTCACCTCCGGGTTGGGGCCAAGTGATGGGTGTTCCTGGCTCTCCCATTACGTCCAATCAGCGTTCTTCAGCTCCCCCTTTTGAAGCAGTTAGGGTTCGTGCAAGAGATGGTAGGGTGCAAGGGATAGGCACTAGACAAGGGCTTTCAGATGTCCAGCTAGGGCACCGGAAAATCCCCACGTAAGGGTCTTTTCAGAGGCGAAAGCATTGCTTATGCCGAATGTTTGTCCTACAAGGAATGTGGTTGTTGTCATCTTCCTTGAAGGGGTTAAGCTCTGAGGCACCCACATGACAGAATTTCTAAACTCAAGCTCCTCTGCCCATGGTCACTTTCAAAGTTTCGTTTTCCTTCTGTATCATTTTTATTGTAATAAAATTATTCATTCTTACCACCTGGAGATAACCAGCATTAGCATCTAGAACATAGCCTCCCGGGCCTTTTTTTTTTTTCCTATGCGTTTTTATTTTATGTTTTTTACAAGTTTGGCATCAGTCTGTACAGGTGGTTTCACAGTCTTCTGTCCTTATTGAACAATATTCGCTGAACATCTTTACGCTGGATTCACTGTTGTCCTAAGGCCTTACCACCACTAGCTGCCCCGCTGGGCTCCCAGCAGAGGCTGTGGGCCAAGGCAGTTTGGCCAGTGCAGGTCCTCCCTAAATGCTAACAACCAAAGCCCGGCCGGCGTGGCTCAGCGGCCGAGCATTGACCTAGGACCCAGGAGATCGTGGTTCGATTCCCAGTCAGGGCACATGCCCGGGTTGCGGGCTCGGTCCCCAGCAGGGGGCACGTAGGAGGCAGCTGATCAGTGACTCTCCTCATTGATGTTTCTCTCTCTCTCTCCCTCTCCCTTCCTCTCTCTGAAATCAATAAAGATATATTTAAAAATAATAATAATAATAACTGAAAAGGGCTGTGCTGGAGGCATCTGGCGTAGGCTGCTTGAGATAGCATCAAAGGCAATATTATCTGAAATATAAGTCTTAACTTTTTATTCAAGTAGTGCACACACAGAACTGTGCATGTATCAAAAAGGTACAGCTCAATGAATTTTCCACAACACCCGTGAGACTGGGATTCAGATCAAGAAACAAAAATGCAGCCTGCCAGAAGAGCCCTCCCCCTCCTGTGCAGTCGCTTGTCCCCCACCCCCAACAGGACGCCATACCTTGACCTCTCACGTGATGAATTCGTTATGCATCACGTCCAGCTCCCTCCGCTCAGTACCATGTCGTGCGCTCCGTCCACTGTCCTTGCAGCGTGTTCCGTTGCATGAGCATGGAAGGTGGTGGCCCGCCTCCTGCCGGGCGTGTTGCTGAGCTATATCCACGTGGGGTCTCTGTGCGCTGGACACCGGGACTGGAATTGCTAGGCCCTGAGTGTGTGTCTAGGTTTAGTAGATTGTGCCAAACACTTTTCCCAAGTGGTTGTACCCATTCGCGTTTCGTCCAACATTGTACCATCACTCTGTGTGCTCCACCGCCTCGCCAACCCTTTAAAGAGGCCAGCCACTGTCCCATGTCCCATGTCCCCAACCCCACGGTGAGGTCAAAGGAAGCCGACCCAGTTCCACATGTGGATGTTTCGGGATTCAACTAACCTTTCTCGTGTTCTCACTGCCCTGCAGATGTGAACGAGTGTGGAGAGAAACCCCGGCCGTGCCAACACAGATGCGTGAACACACATGGAAGCTACAAGTGCTTCTGCCTCAGTGGCCACATGCTCATGCCCAATGCCACGTGTGCCAGTAAGTGTCAGTCAACCTCTGAGGCTTGCCTTTTGCCATTTGATGCTTGGGGGAAAGTTGACTTGAATGTTAAAAAAACCAAAATGAAACAAACAAACAAAACACCAAGAAAACTCTAACATTGCCCCAGGCTAAAACATTTTTGAGCACTTTTATAAAAAATTGTGGTAAAATACATATAACATAGAATTCACCATTTTAACCATTTTAAAGTATACAATTCAGTGGTATTTTATACATTCACAATGTTGTATAACTATCTAGAACTATAACTCCAGAACATCTTCTTCACCCCTAAAGGAAACCATCTCCAGTAGCAGTCACCCCCATCCCTCTGGCGATGACACATTTGCTTTCTGTCTCTATGGATGTGGTTATTAAGTAAAAAGACTAGCTGAGGAAAAGAATAAATTCGATATCTCTATACACAGGGATCTATTGGGTTTCTTGATGAAAATAAACATGTTGAATAAAATAAGCATATTGTTTTAGGAAGGTGATAAATTAAAATTCCATCTTGAGATATCAGTGCCGCCAACTACCTTTCTCATGCCCTTTGCCTCAGGCTCAAAGATTAGTCCCTCTTGTTGTAAATACACTCTGATTCATATTCCTGAAAAGAAAAGCCCTTCTGTGATAAAGAGAAATACGTGTCCTTTGGGAGAGTGAGTCTCTATCCATTCATTTATCGGGAAGAAAGGCTTTTCAGGTTTGATGTTGCAGCTAAAAGGTAAACACATCCCCCTTGCCTGCCTCCCCCTCCCTCCCCTCTCTGCATCTCTCTTTCCATGGCCCTGCCGCTCCCACAAGCCTGGAGCCTGTGCCTCCTGCCAGCCTCCTGTGGTTGCAGGGCCTTGTGGACTCCCCAGCCCGCCCTGGCCGTTCCTGCGGTTGTAAAATCGTGGCTCATGCAGAGCTCACTGCTCCCCTGGCGCACCCTTGTGCTGTTCCTCCCTGGCACAGGGCCCCCGCACCGCCACTCGTCCAGATTCTTTCAGCAGGCAAGCTGAAGAGATAGAGCCGGCATTCAGAGAGGCTTAAAAAAATCCTTACCATTAGAAATTAAACTGAAACCCACAAGAGGCAAATTCATAGCTTAATGAGTTCTTACAAGGTGAGCACCCAGGCAACTACTACCAAATAGAACTCTGCCACCCCTGTGGGGACCACCAGCCAGGCTTCTATACTTAATCACTTAACTTTTCTGAAAAGATGTATGCTAATGGATGTTTCTAAAACATTCCATGAAAGCCCAGTCAATGCCAAAAAGATAGCTTTCTCCAAATGGAAAGATAGAATTAGGTAATTTTGAAGGTTAATTTTAAAAGAAGACTAAAGAGAAGGAAAGGTAAACTAGGTGTTTGTTGCATTGCCTTGGCCTGTGTGTCTAGCCCTGCACCTTCTTTGTCTATTTCTGTATATGTAAGGGTTGCTTGTGCCTCCCTGTTTATAGCTCAAAGTGTCCAGGTAGCCCTGGACCTCTTTCCTGGATGCTGATTTTTTAAAAATATATCTTTACTGATTTCAGAGAGAGGAAGGGAGAGAGAGAGAGAGAGCTAGAAACATCAATGATAAGTCACTGATGGGCTGCCTCCTGCACGCGCCCGACCGGGGATCGAGCCCGCAACCCGGGCACGTGCCCTGACTGGGAATCGAACCCCAATCTCCTGGATCCTAGGCCGACGCTCAACCGCTGAGCCACGCCGGCCGGGTGCTCCCGGATGCTGATTTTATTCCACCCGGCTCCTTGCAGTCTCTTGTCCAGCTGAGTGATTGGCATGCTGTGGATGTGGTGGATGGAGTGAGCATATTCACCATGCTCCCCTATTGTAGAAGCTTATGATCCACACATTCCGGGCTCCTGCTGAGGAAATGCATTTTTGTGAGATAAGTTACGTTTAGCAATGAGTGACAGAAAACTCCAACTAAATCATCTTATTTGCTTAAAAAAACAAAACAAAAAACAATCTGGAGGCAGGCAGTTTCACAACAGCTCAGCAAGGACTCATCCTCAGGGTATTGATTTCGTTGTCATGCTTGTTGCCTCAGAGTCACAATGTGGCTGCCCCAGCTCCAGATATCACACATACATTTAAGGTAGGCAAGACAGTGGGGAAAGGAGTGGTGCCAATGAATGAACACCTCTTTCATGACCATCCCTTTTGTCGTGCGGCAGCGTCTTTTCCAGCAGACTTGTCTGTATATCTCTTTGGCCACAACTAGGTTACATGGCCACTCCTTATTGCTGCAAGGGGAACTGGGCAAAAGACAAGTGTCTGGCTTTTCAGCCTCAATGATGGCAGTAGCAGGAGAAAAGGGGGTCCAGAACGGCTTTCTGGCAGCCGATCAGCTGTATCTGCCACATGTTTTAAAACTGGCACCTAGGAGACCAAGTCTCATGACTCAAGTGACTCTCACTGAGCCTAGACATGCACGGAGAGACATGCAGAGCGGATTATTTTACCCTAATGACTCGGGTTGCTCACCTGCACCGGAGGTTGCATTTTAACCCGAGAGAGCAGCCAGGTGACGTGAAGGAGTGACTAGAGCTCAGGTGGGAGGAGAGAGGTGCAGGCTGGCGACTGAGGGCTGCGTGCCCCGCCTACAGAAAGTCACATCCAACATCGGCCCACGCAACAGACCATGCGGCCACCAAGCGCCGCCCTGCGCAGAGTCCGCTTAGCTCTCAGACTCCCAGGCGTGTCTATAGCTGCATGCCACGTGTTGCGGTCAGCACCCCGGGCTCACGGTTTCTCGGTACAGTGCTCCCTGTCGTCTTGGGAGGAAGGGGCTAATCCTTGCCTGCTTTTTCAGACTCTCGGACGTGTGCCATGACCAACTGCCAGTACGGCTGTGAAGACACGGAGGGCGGGCCGAGGTGTCGGTGTCCGTCCTCGGGACTCCGCCTGGCCCCGAACGGAAGGCTCTGCATCGGTAGAGCAGCGGGCATCGCCTCCGCGCCCTGGCCCCTTCCCTTCACCGCTCCCTTTGCTTCATTCCTCCTTTTCCGCTGATCACAGTCTGCTCGTTGGCTAGACATTGCAAGCTCCTAAAAGTACAGATTTATGCCATTTCTGAGACAACATTGTTACCCGCATATGCTCTAGGCACACTTTGGAGTGCTAGAAAGAACACTCCTTATTTTGGGATTGCCTACTGCTGTAGTGAAAAAAGAATAAAAATAATTTTATTTTAGTATATTTACCCTGCACATATTACTTCAGCCACCAAATTGTATGACCTCATAGTACTGTACTTAATTATATTGCACCAAATCTACATAATATTTAGAGCAAGGAGCACATAGCATTCATAAGCGATGTCAAACCAAATCAGACTGTTGAAAGAGTTCTTACTCTTTTTGATTTAAATAAGGAAATATCAGTGTGATTTAATATTCTTACTTCCTTACTACAATAGAGATATTTTTCACTCAAGGTGCTGGATGTTTATCATGGATGTATATAACTTGATAAATTGCATTTAGAAAACTCAGCCAAATAGGTCCTAAATCAGTTAAATGCTTTTAAAAATCACGTAAATTAAAAATTTGGCTCTGCTCTTTGAGAGTAATCAAAAAGATTTAATTGGAATCACAGGTTTAGTACTCCGTAGTAAAATAAGATTTCTGTGACAAGGCTGATTTCTGATCGAACTGAATCCACGAACTGAATCCACATTTCTACCCACCTCTTTGACTGGTCGGGCGTCATTTTTATTGGAAGGGGAAGGGTATGTGCAGGAAAGTGATCACTGAAAAGTTATTTTTGTCAGCCCATCAGTTATTTATTAATTATTTTAAGAATGCAAAGGAAACAATAAGCCATCACTCACTTGTATGTTTAACCACAGTTCTAAAATAACAACAAAACATCTGTTTGGCTTGAAAACTGAAAGTGAAAGCAAAGCCTGTCTTAGTGGTTTGGTGGACAAGCTGTCAGCCCCTCTGTAGCATGACTCTCAGGGAAGGGCAGGAAGCCTGTTGTCCACTAAAGCTGCATCCTTACATCATTACACTTGACCCACGACTTACGTATCAGTGCACTCTTAGAAACCACATTTCTGTGATTTGGGTCAATATTGCAGGACTTGGGGGAGCTTGCAAATGAAGTAATTCTTTTGTAAAATGTGAAATTTAAACATTGTATTAAAATGTAGCTATCTGACTCTGTTTTCAAAAAATGTATATGCTCTGCAGTGCACAGAGCTAGAAAAATACGAATTCACTCAGCAAACACGCTCTCCTTGCGAGGCTGCGTGTGTGTCCCAGAGGGAGAGTGCTTTCCTGCCGTCACTGACGCTTCTGGCTCTCCGCCCCAGATATCGATGAGTGTGCCTCTGGCAAAGCTGTCTGCCCCTACGATCGAAGATGTGTGAACACATTTGGGAGCTACTACTGCAAATGTCACGTTGGCTTCGAACTGAAATACGTCAGCGGCCGATATGACTGTGTAGGTAAGATTTGGTGGCGCCTTTTTCTTTTTCCTGTCCCCACCAGACCTGCAGGCTTTCTCTACAGCTATTTCAGTTCAGTCTATTTGTTGAACAATCTATGGTACCGACCAGCTTAACAACACAGAACAAGTTACATTTTTTACATTTCTGGCCTTTAGGGAACTCTGATGACATGAATTATATGAAGCGAGGTCAGTAAAGATTTGAACTAAGGAACTTCGGCCTGTATCGCTCTGTTACGGTGATGCCAAGTCACAGGGCAGAAGCCTGTCCCCTGATACCTCCAGGGAGGTTCCACAGGACTGGGTGTGAAATACCGTGGAGAGCTTCCAAAGAAAACAAATCTTTGTGATTTTAAAGGTGATTAAGATTAGCATCTGAGTTCCATTTGTGGCTAAATTAAAAACTGCAAGGCTACTTTGTGTGCACATCTACAAAAGCAGAGCTGGAAAGTGATGGAGAAGAGAGCTAGTGCACTCTTCACCGGGGCGAGTTCTGCAAAGTTTCAATCCAAGTGCAGCAGGCAAGCTCAGACCAGCCTGACCTTGCTCCTGGCAGGTTTTGAACTAAATGCCTATATAGCCCTGGCCGGCGTGGCTCAGTGGTTTGAGTGTCAGCCTGTGCACTGGAGGGTCAGAGGTTCAATTCCCGGTCAAGGGCACTTACCTGGGTTGCAGGTTCAAACCCCATCTGCCCAGTCAGGCCGTATGCTAGAGGCAACCAATCAGTGTGTCTCTCTCACATCCACGTTTCTCTCTCCTTTCTCTCTCCCTCTCCCTCATCTCCTCCACTCTCTCTAAAAATCAATGGAAAAAATATCCTCACTCCTTGGGTGAGACTTAAAAATATAAAGCCTACATATTCAGATGATGTCAGTGGCTCCAAGCTAGTCTTGTCCTTTGTTAGCTAGGAGTTCAAAGCCCTTCCTCATACATAATTTATTTCTTGATATTGTGACTTAGTTCTGAATTAGACAGATGGAACAGTTAAGAAACAACCTAAACATCTTACAGATTTCAGCAGTATTGATAAGCAGATGAGATTGCTGTGGGGGTGGTAGGTACAGACACAGTCGCTACCTACCCGGAGTCAGGCAAGCTGGGGCTCTGGGCCAAGGCACTGGGGGTTATGAACACCTTAGTTCTGTGGCCATGCTTGGTTTGTTGGCAGTGTTAATGGTTGGCCCAAGTGTAAGGGATGGTAGTCTTTCAGCATGCCCTGTTACCACAAGTTTGTTCACAGGGTGTTCACATTTTTATTTATTTTTATTTATTTATTTTTTAAATTTATCTTTATTGCCCGGCTGGGTGTGGCTCAGCGGTTGAGCATCGACCTAGGATCCAGGAGATCGGGGTTTGATTCCCGGTCAGGGCACAAGCCCGGGTTGCGGGCTGCAGCCGATCAATGACTCTCTCATCATTGATGTTTCTATCTCTCTCTCTCCCTCTCCCTTCCTCCCTCTGAGATCAATAAAGATATATTTAAAAAAAAATTATCTTTATTGTTGAAAGTATTATAAGTGTCCCATTTTTTACCCCCAGTTGACCTCCTCCACCTCGCTCCCACCCCCTCCCCAGGCCTTCACCCATTATTAACTGTGTCCATGGGTTATGCATATATGCATATAACTTCTTTGGTTAAT